TATTCCTGAGTTAAAACTTGTGAAACTTTATAAGATTTAGCAGTAGCCCTTTCGAATTTGACTAATCTCAATGTTATCACGTACTCTGCATGAGGTTCTTATTTATGTATTTTTGTTTCTATGACAATTGTTTTTAATCAATGATATACACTTAGTTATATAACTGAGATGTCTACATAGACACATTATAGAAGAACACACAGTAAAGTCACTTTATTTAAATTTTTCGTGCCACACATATCTTATTACGAATGTGATTACCATAGTGGCAGCCAGTCAATTGCTTTTTTGACGAATAGGTATGATGAAATGCCTAACGGCAGCCATTAATTTAATTAAATATACAACAGCCAGTTGCACACAAAGTGGACCTACTGTATATTCTTTATTCCACGACATGCGCGAGGACAAAAACATCAAAGGTTCCGACACAAGTGACACTTCTGTATATTCTTATTTTGTGCCTATACTGTGACATAGATGTCATCAATGTTTCATAATACTGTTTGTTGAAGTAGATCCTGACTGATCTTTCATCTTCGCTCGTTATTTTAATGTGTTTATGTAACAAATCTCACATGTATAGAAAATTATTGTAACAATAAGGCATGAACTATGATCACTATTTTTTAACTGATATGTATGTGGTCGCGTTGTTTATATTAAATCTCTCATTCGTTTGTTGAGTATGTGACATGTAAAGAACTAAGCAAGCATAATTTTGTTCACACGGCCGTGTTACTTCTAAAACGAAGGTAATTTTAGAAATATTAAGCGATATTTTAGAACTACATTACCGATATAACAATTTAGCTAAACAGCATTTCGATAAAGTATGACTAAACATGCATGAGAAATCATATCTAAATTGATTTACCAAATTTCCAGGTATTGACAATAAGCTGCATGGTAAAGGAAAGCAAAACCTGTTCGAAGAAATGGGAGAGGTGAAATAGCATACTTGTTTATGTAAAAAATGGGAATTTGTGAAAATTTATGTGGGGGGGATAGCATGTCCAATTATTCACCTCCAATAATTAACCTCCAATTATTCACCTCCACCCATGTCCAATTATTCACCTCCCTTTTTTGACAACGACACTTTTGACTAATCGCTGTGTGTCTAACAAAATGTTGTTAGTTGTATCGAGCAAACCATTCATTTTGAAAGTAAGAACATTTTTAAAGTAAGCAAATGTTAAACATACAAAGAATGTATTTACACAAAGAAAGAACGCAACCGAATCTATTTTTGCGAAATGTTGATTCATGCAACACAATGAGCTTTTAAAATTATATTTTTGATAATATTTGTTTAACAGTTTTAAGGTTTACTTTTATTGCAATCTTTACTGTGGTATCTATAGGGGCTTTATTGATCATAAGTAATTATAATTGCGTGCACTTGATGTTTGCCATGTATTCATAATTTACAATGGTTTATTCAATAACAAAGATTTTATATAATATGAACTGATTTATTCAAGAATATACATTTATGGAATTTTTGATTAATGAAGGGAAAAAGTCTATTCACAGTTTCGAAAATCGTGTCTTAATCATTGGCATTCAAATCCTGTCTTAGATAGGTGATTGTCTATTCCTGAGTTAAAACTTGTGAAACTTTATAAGATTTAGCAGTAGTTCTTTGGAGTTTGACTAATCTCAATGTTATCATGTACTCTGCATGAGGTTCTTATTTATGTATTTTTATTTCTATAACAATTGTTTTTAGTCAGTGATGTATACTTAGTTATATAACTAGAATGTTCTACATAGATGTCATTAATGTTTTATTATACTGTTTGTTGAAGGAGATCCTTACTCACTTTTCATTTTCGTTCGCTACATAAATGAGTTTATGTAACCAAACTTATATGGATAAGAGGCTGATGTAACAATAAGGTATGAATTATGATCACCATTTTTTAGCTGATATGTGTGTGGTCGTGTTCTAATTCGATTTATTTCGGTAATTTGCAGTATACTGTGCAACGTATATAGTTGCTCGATGACAAAAATCAACTACTTTGCTTCAATATTTTATACAATTCGTGTTTTAATACAATAGAAAGCAGTGAAAGGTTTTACTGAGCTACATTTAGGTACATTTTAGCAGTATTATATTTATAAATTTGACTTTAGTTTAATGACACGTTTATTTACATCTTTCTGAACCTTTAAAGCTCATTTGGACAATGCTTTCTCGTATTAATTTAAGAGTAGATACTTAATCAAAGAATTTATGTTTACTAACTTCAAAAGGTTAGGCAAATTGTAATTCGGACGTCGCGTATTAAACATCAATTTTCAATTTTATCCATTCCAGCGACCGGTACTAGCAACTTGTACTTAGTAGGATGTACTGTCTGTCTGGTATAAATAAAACACGGATGTGGGGATAAAACACGGATCTTCTTAAAATTTTTCTTCTTTTCATGTGGTTGTTTTTAGCAAAAATATCATGAAAATGTTTTGCATTGTGTGCTTTTGTTTAAATTGTTCCATGTGCCAAATTGTAGGAAAGTAAAACCAAAATGTTTTAAAACATCAATCAAATGCTTCGCAAGAACTTACTTTACATATGAATATGGTTAGCATATAAGCTCTCTGCCACAGACATTATCTATACAATATTTTTCGGAGAAAAAAGTAACCCTATGTCTCAAGTTGCAGGTTAAATGTAGCTGGTGAAGTAGAATTGCACTTTTAAAAGTAGATGTTAATAGAAAAGGTTCATGTTGAATTCTCAGGGATTTTTTATTTCTGTATATGCACACTTTAATGTGCATTATGTTCTCTAGGAATCAACGTTCTCTGCTGTTAACACTAAAATATATTCTTAGCGCTGAAAATTCATGATTTGCGTTTGTTATGCACATAGGCCCGTTCACACGATCCGATTTGTCGTATCCGATTGTTTCGATTCCGACTTTAATTTGGTTACTTGCTCAGACGGTTGATGATTTTGTTGATATTTATGTTCGTTTAGATATTTATATTTGTGTTATCCAGAACATTTATCGATATATTTTTCGTATTTTGTTCTTGTTTACTTGTCTTTTTCAAATCTATGTAATTTGACTAGTTTCTTTGATCTTGTTTGATAAAAATAGAACAAGCTCTATTTTCATACGATTTTTTAAATGAATGAATCTGACTGTCAGACGCTGACTTTTTTGTGTTCACAGGATCCGTTTTCTACCATCCGAAAATTTTTCAGTAAACTATGTAATAAACTAACAGTTGCACCGTTACTCTAATCTACTCTACTCTACTCTACCTACCGTGCGTAAATTTTAGCCATTCAAAGACGCTGTCTTTTAAACTTATCCAATCAGCGATTAGGTTACAATTGCTCTTGGTAAGGCCATCGCGTTTGGGTTTGGACATTGCAGCGATTCCGTATTGAAACTGTTAATGTTTCAAGATTGTGCTTTTTGTGTTTGGTACTTACTTTCTTTTTTTTTTATCATGTTTTGCGGGGCAAAACAACCTCTTCCCAGGGCAAATAAATCTCTTCGGTGATCAAAACTGTTTCTTTGGGGATCAAAACAATTTCTTTGAAGATCAAGAAACGTGTTTTCTTTGGAGGTCAAAACGTGTTTTTGACAAAAACAACTATAACTCTGACTTTATCAAACGCAATACTTACAAACCCAACGAATCCAACGAAACGAGCAGCTCAGTGACAACAGCAACGATACCTTACATCAAAGGTACGTCTTTCGTGGAATTAACGTCTTTCGGAGGAGATTCGGTCTTCGACATGTCTTTGGAAAATGCTAAAGGTGACCACAGAAACGTTTTTTAGTTTTCGGCTCAGTTGCTGTTTTATTGGTTAGGATATTAAAATGAGCGAACAACAATTTTTCACTTGTTTCCCCTACAGGAGACCTTATTTCAAGTCATGTGACTACGAATGAACCAATCACATTTAACATACACTGCACCTATATAACGATGTAACTTAATGCTGCAGAGAACTGGCGAAAATTTTAGGAGAGTTTTGTGTCGATCTTTCACACTATATCTCATAGCTACATAAACTTTCAATATATCATAACCTGCTTTGGCTGCCCCTTTTAATTGTGTTGATATGCTCATACTTACTTAAAAAATGACGATATACTTTTGGCTACACCATAATATTTTACTTCTATATTTTATTGCATGAAAAATGAGTTAAAATAATGTGTACTAATTACAAAACACCCCGCATTTTGTTCTTAATCATTTACATGTAAAGTCAAATGTATAAAGATATATCTGACGTAAAGTGAATTTTTATCACTTCAGACAGAAATTCCAAAGAGTGAGCTTAATGAACGATATTTAAGTAAAATGCAGCATGTTGTGCTTTCAAAAATGCCGATGGATTAATTAAATAATTTTTACCTTTAATGGTTTATAAATAGACATAATTTGAAAGTTGATTTGCTGATTTCAATGGTTTGAAGAATTGCAAATACAAATCAAACGACTTTTATGCACGTCATTAGTCTCATGGAATTTAGTTCAGAAAAATACCTCTGTAAGACATGGTGATATATACACAATAGGTTTACCTTTATAATAGTCTTTTTTAATACATCCTGTATTTGTACCTTTTTTGGAAACAACATCTATAATGTAAATGTACGTAAAGAATGGTTCACATAGTGAAACCATCAGCTAAAATTACACTTTTTACACGTCGAATCTTATTGATTTTCTTGCATTAAAAATGTAATAAACAGAACTTTAATATTAATGACTTAATAATATGACCTGTTCATTTGGTTAACTTTTCCACATTAGTTCTTTGCAATAATATGACCTGTTCATTTGGTTAACTTTTCCACATTAGTTCAAAATCCAAACACAGGCAAGCTAGTGTTTATGTATTTCAACCACCAAATATGGCAAGCAAGTTTTTGAAAAAAGCATGAAACACGAAATTTTTTTGCGCTCGCTGTTAAGAATCTTTGATTTAGTAAATTTCATCCATAATTTCACAGATAATGGAAGATTACGATGACAATGAAATTGGAGCGTTAAATAATGAAGAAGTGACAGGCGATTGCGGTTTCAACGATCCGTTGATCAACAGCATTACGAATGATCTAATTAAAGACGACGATAACAACAGGTAATTCTTGTACCATCGACTTTACTGTTTGTATCATTGACATAATGTACAATTTAAACAAGTGTTTATTAGTGTGATTTTTCAAAAAAAATCGTTTAAAATATATAAAGTACCTTAATTTTGACTTCAAAATCATTTTTATCTTCGTTATTTTCGTCTCCTTTAAGACCAAAAAGTAAGTAGTTTGCCGGTTGGTCAATTTTTTTCAAACTTCGTGCAAACATGAAATTTCATATTAAGTTTTGTTTGAAAAAAAGTGGTATTCTAGTAAAATTTACCATGCCTAATGTTTTTGTTGATGTGCTTTTCCAGCATTTCTGATAAAGAGAATTTGAAAGTGCCAAAAGTTCACTTTGACATTTGTGAGAATAACTCATCAAATTTTGATGGCGAGGAATTTGTAAAGATTGAAGAAGTAGCAAACGAACAGTGGGACTGCGAGTCAATTTTAAGTATGTTGTGATTTGTTATGTTCATCTGATATTGGTGAAATTTATTGTACAGTAGCTTTGAGGCACAAGTCACATTCTGTTTTGTTACGATAATGAGTCAGAAAGGTTAAGAATAATTTAGTGGGAAATGGATAACCCAACTTCTAGCAAAAGATGGCTATTTCTGTGATTTTTTCATGCCGATGTGTTTTTCGGAATTATACGCTTGCATTATCTAAAAATCCTTGAATCGTTTGTGCTGTAGTCGTACAATGTATTTCGTGAATTATGTGGATGTCTGTAAAGAATAGAAAGCAAACAATATATAAGAAGGTTCCATTATCATCTTTTGTGATTTGACATATGTTTAATTATTATTCTTTTTGATTCAGGCACTTATTCGAATTTGTACAACCATCCCACACTAATTAAAGAATCTTCAAAGGTAAGCTGTATTTTTTATTTTATGAATCATTAAAGGTAAGCTGCTTTTATGATTGTAAAAAGAACCGTTGAAGAACTAGATAATTTCTATTATTAGTAATGCAATGTCCGTGCATTATGAAAGAAAATATTGTAATCATCAGATTTTAGTTCTTGTCTTCAGGACAATGCAGGAGATTTTATCGAGTTACATAGGGATTTATGAATTGCTCACCATGCGCTCACTGCCTTGTCATTATCGAGTTACATAGGGATTTATGAATTGCTCACCATGCACTCACTGTCTTGTCATTATCGAGTTACATAGGGATTTATGAATTGCTCACCATGCGCTCACTGCCTTGTCATTATCGAGTTACATAGGAATTTACGAATTGCTCACCATGCACTCACTGTCTTGTCATTATCGAGTTACATAGGGATTTATGAATTGCTCACCATGCGCTCACTGCCTTGTAATTGAACCCTTTAATTTATGAATTTCTTACCATGCGCTCACTGTCTTGTCATTTTCGAGTTACATAGGGATTTATGAATTGCTCACCATGCGCTCACTGCCTTGTCATTATCGAGTTACATAGGGATTTATGAATTGCTCACCATGCACTCACTGTCTTGTCATTATCGAGTTACATAGGGATTTATGAATTGCTCACCATGCGCTCACTGCCTTGTCATTGAACCCTTTAATTTATGAATTTCTTACCATGCGCTCACTGTCTTGTCATTTTCGAGTTACATAGGGATTTATGAATTGCTCACCATGCGCTCACTGCCTTGTCATTATCGAGTTACATAGGGATTTACGAATTGCTCACCATGCACTCACTGTCTTGTCATTATCGAGTTACATAGGGATTTATGAATTGCTTACCATGCACTCACTGCCTTGTCATTGAACCCTTTAATTTATGAATTTCTTACCATGCGCTCACTGTCTTGTCATTTTCGAGTTACATAGGGATTTATGAATTGCTCACCATGCACTCACTGTCTTGTCATTTTCGAGTTACATAGGGATTTATGATTTGCTCACCATGCATTTACTGTCTTGTCATTATCGAGTTACATAGGGATTTATGAATTGCTTACCATGCACTCACTGTCTTGTCATTATCGAGTTACATAGGGGTTTATGAATTGCTCACCATGCACTCACTGTCTTGTCATTTTCGAGTTACATAGGGATTTATGAATTGCTCACCATGCGCTAACTGTCTTCTCATTGAACCCTTTAATTTATGAATTGCTCACCATTTACTCACTGCTTTGTCATTGAACCCTTTAATTTATGAATTGCTCACCATTTACTCACTGCCTTGTCATCGAACCATTTAATTTATGAATTGCTCACCATGCGCTCACTGCCTTGTCATAGAACCATTTAATTTATGAATTGCTCACCATTTACTCACTGCCTTGTCATAGAACCCTTTAATTTATGAATTTCTTACCATGCGCTCACTGTCTTGTCATTTTCGAGTTACATAGGGATTTATGAATTGCTCACCATGCGCTCACTGCCTTGTCATTATCGAGTTACATAGGGATTTACGAATTGCTCACCATGCACTCACTGTCTTGTCATTATCGAGTTACATAGGGATTTATGAATTGCTCACCATGCGCTCACTGCCTTGTCATTTAGAACCCTTTAATTTATGAATTTCTTACCATGCGCTCACTGTCATTTCGAGTTACATAGGGATTTATGAATTGCTCACCACTGCACTCTCTTGTCATTTGTTACAGGGATTTATGATTTGCTCACCATGCATTTACTGTCTTGTCATTATCGAGTTACATAGGGATTTATGAATTGCTTACCATGCACTCACTGTCTTGTCATTATCGAGTTACATAGGGATTTATGAATTGCTCACCATGCACTCACTGTCTTGTCATTTTCGAGTTACATAGGGATTTATGAATTGCTCACCATGCGCTAACTGTCTTCTCATTGAACCATTTAATTTATGAATTGCTCACCATTTACTCACTGCCTTGTCATAGAACCCTTTAATTTATGAATTGCTCACCATTTACTCACTGCCTTGTCATAGAACCCTTTAATTTATGAATTGCTCACCATTTACTCACTGCCTTGTCATAGAACCCTTTAATTTATGAATTGCTCACCATTTACTCACTGCCTTGTCATAGAACCCTTTAATTTATGAATTGCTCACCATTTACTCACTGCCTTGTCATAGAACCCTTTAATTTATGAATTGCTCACCATTTACTCACTGCCTTGTCATTGAACCCTTTAATTTATGAATTGCTCACCATTTACTCACTGCCTTGTCATCGAACCATTAAATTTATGAATTGCTCACCATGCGCTCACTGCCTTGTCATTGAACCCTTTACTTGCCAGTGTAGTTGATCGTCAATAATCGCCGAGCGAAATGGTTTGTGGTCTTCTACCCTAATTCAATATTTCAAGCAATGAAACTTATTTTTGTTATAATTTCCGTAAACAATGCAACCAATCATTTGAAAACTTTGCTCAAAAGACGTGGCATATAATTCAGGGAAGTTATTTAGCGCCGCTCTCGATTAAGCGCCGCATCTCAGATATTGATATCGTATAATTTTGGTAATAAAAGGATACATTGTTTTTTGTCGCTCTCCTACGTATATGATATTTTCGTTAAGTTCTATTTTATTGTATCAAGTAAATAGATTTTGTCTACTTGTTAGTTTTTGGGGGCAATAAATATATTTGGTGTGAGCCTTTAGTTGAAAATTATTTAATTAGCGCCTCTCCCGGATAAGCGCGGCATTCGGAATCGGAAAAACTAAATAAGCACCGCGGCTCAAAATCGAGCATTTACGGCAAGTCTGCCACTTTTTACAGTAACAATGGAAGCAACAAATACGGCATGACACAAAAAAATTTGCGCAACAATAGCTACAGGAGGATAATAGTTATGAACACCAAACTTGGTGTGTTTACTCCTTATGATGTAATGTAGCTATGCACTATGAGGACAGATTTTTATATCATCAAATATTTCAGCTCAATTATAAAAACCGGCCTTTTTTCAATGTTATCCAGTTATACAATAAAGAAAGATTGTCTACTTAATGCATAAAGCACTACAAAACATATAACCAGTCCAAAAATAAAGGCAATTCATCTAATTCCTCTCTAGGTTTTCCACAATTTCGAACATGAAAAAATGTTAAATTTAAGAAAATCAAGTTTAAAGTTTTACTAGTGATTTTTCCTCAGTTTCCTACACTTTTCGGGACTCGTAGTAATGGAAGTGGTTACTGCAATATTCAAATTTATTAAAGAAAAATACTTAGATACCAAGCATTTCTTTATTTTTGGCTAAAACAAAGCAGCATCGTGATCTAGTATCCAAAAATTACGTTGTTTCTTTCTCTCGTCAGGGTGTATGAGCATGCGAACTAGACAAATTTCTTTGTTTGTTTTTTTCTTTTATCCTGTTTTTTGATTTTTTTATTTCATCTTCAACATGTCGAAGAACATTTCAAAGAAATTCCTTATTTCACTAATCTGCAGTTCTTTCTTGAGTATGAAGTTGTAACCTTTTATTTCGACAAAAAGTACCTCGTGTGCTAAAGGCTTAATGTCCGACTTTTGAAGAAACCTGCCAACATGGCCGCTTTCAAGTCTTATGAAAACACACCATTTAATATCTGTTCATTAGAAAAAGTTCTTTTTGTTTTAATTTTGATGTTTTTAATAATTTCTTACTTAAGTTGTGCTTTGTGTGCAATTCAAGTTCTTCTTCGTCCTTAAATATTTCAGAATATGACTGAAAGTCTTTGAAAAATGCTTGAATTTCATTACTTTAGCTTTGTTTCGAAACTATTGACTAATGCAGGACAATAATGAAGTATTTTGCAGTATACATGGCTTATCGTATAAAATCGTTTTAGAATCTCGGCGACAAGCGTATTGCCCTGTCAAAACGTGATGGAATCCCCTTGGGAGTGCTTTCAGATGGAAAGAAAGACAAAATTACGAAGTCTTCTGAAATGAAAGTTTCTGACAATGCTCATAGACAACTTGAAAACTATAACAGGTCACGTGACGAAACGAAGGAAGAGAAAAGGGCGCGAAAACAAAAAGTCAAGAACGAAAGACAGGTATTCAGATTTGAGTTCTTGTTGAAGTCTAGTATTTGAAATAAATTTTATTATTTTCGATGTATAAATAAATAAATGTTATTCTCTACCATCTCAACTTCATAAAAACATTTTTTACGATATTCTCACGTGAATATATAACAATAACATTCACGAAATTATTATTACAATGTAAAAAACATCGGCTTATATGCACATGAAAAACATGTGACTTGGACGAGATTTGAACTCGCACCTTCGGGATACTAGTCCGCCGCTCTATCTGTTGAGCTGCCAAACTCACAAGGATTGGAGACGACTCAAATCTTTTTTAAAAACGACGAGTCAAATCTCAACAAGTAGAGCGGCGGACTAGTCTCCTGAAGGTGCGAGTTCAAATCTCGCCAAGTCACATGTTTTTCATGTGCATATAAAATCGTGTTAAGATTAATATATTATATATATTCACTGATGATGGCTTTGCAATTAAGAAGACCTAGTTAAAGCAATTTACGTATTTGAGCAAAAACAAAAGAAAAAAAGCGGATTTTCTAACGTTGGTTTGTACTTCGTCTTCGATAACACATTTTCAACAAAATTGATCAGCCATTGCTTATATATTTTGTAAGCCAATCATATTCTAGCACTTAACTAACCAATTGCATTTCTTCAGTCCCATAGATCATGTGCGTACGATACTTGTAAAATCTTGACTTTTTTGATTTTCCATGAGATAATAAAAACAACTTGTTTGCCGCATAAAAATGAAGATTTTTTCGGTTTATTGCACAAAAAATAGATTACATTGAACCGTTGTCTGTTCAGTTATAGATACACAAGTAAGACGTCATTTGTGGTAAGAACTAAAAAGTGGCCACGAGCCGCCGAGGCGAGTGATAGCCTCAATATAATAGATATTATATAGGTCTTAATAATGTCTTCATTTGCACAATCAGGGATAAATTCATGTAAATATTCAAATAATTTCGACGTTTGTTTGTAATTCAAAAACAAGAAGTTTCTGTGATGTCAACTCCGTGCTTATTTCTTCTTACAGATTGTAGCTCTCGACCAATGAAATTGCTTCAATTCTTGTGGTTATTATATGTAATGCAAGCGAACTTCAGTCTCAAAAAGGTTGCGTGGTTTTTGCGGGAAATTTTAATTGCGATAATATAAACAATATGAAATTAAATCTATGAATTTATGTTTTTAATGTTGTTTTTGAAAGGTTATTTTATAATAGAAATAGAGAACATATTTACTTGTTCCTATTGAATTACAGAAACAAATGCGCATTTGAAACGCTTCTGTAGAGATATTGACATTCGACTTATTTTCACATCATTTAAAATCAAAAACTTCTTCTCATTCAAAGACCCGATCCCTGATTCAATTAAATCTATGGTGATGTATGAATTTAATTGTGCGGAATGTAATTCCCGATATATTGGCGAAACTTCGCGCCATTTATGCACCAGCATCAGGGAACATACCACAAAAGGCAAAAATTCTCATATATACGGACACCTTCCTAAATCTCACTCGTGTAAAACCAACTATTCACCTTCTTGCTTCAAAATCATAGACACTGCCGACACCTCATTCTTCCTTAAAATCAAAGAAGCACTCCACCATAACAAAACTTACCCTGACCTCAAGGTTTAAATTTTTAAAATCAACACAATATTTAGTTTCTAACACGCTCCCATTAATTCATCTCATTTCCTTATTGTTGTTATAATTTATGTGTCATATTACTTTTATATAAACCTTGTATTATTTGTGTAAATATTCACTCATACTGAAGTGACAGAAACATATCTATTTTCAAAAAATTTGTGGTTTAAATTAAATGCACATTAGCGATAGTGCTTCTACAAAGTTATAGAAACCCTTTGCCACGTTGCCATATCTCGTTTCTCCTAAACTTTCTCGCATGTTTTTCTATGTTTAAACAAATGTTTTGTATTTCGTGAATATCATTCATTTATCATTTCATTCTGCCGTGCTTAATTTTCTGCAATCATAAGAGGCATTCATATTTTATTTGATCATTATAATAGATGAGAAGATCGCAGAAGAAATGCAACAAATTGCTTTTTAAAGAAGAGCGAAAAAGACAAGAAAAGTCGCAAACAGCAATTTTGATGGGGCATAAAATACAATAAATGGTCGTCCGAGGTATCGATGTAAGTTTTGTCGCCATTTGTAATATTGGTAATAGCTAACTTTTCTTTCGTGGCACGCTTGGTCATCTTTGTATTTGTGTGCTATCTTTAGTAGCTATTGCAACGATTGTGACAGTTGACCTTATCATCTAACTCAAAAACTTTCAGGAACATATTTTATCTCGTTGTTTTTAAAGTTTGTAACACTGGCAATAGATTTTGTTGGCGGAAAACGTATTTTTGTCAACAGCAAGCCCAGCTTATTGCAGGTAAATGAATAGCCGTTATAATAAAAAAAACCCATAAAATATCAGAATATAAATGAAATAAAAATTTTTCTTTACATTTTGTAATCATAATGGTTTTTCATGCACTTGCAATAAGCTGTGCTTTAATGTTTATAACAAGTTTCTGACATTAACAGCGTCGTCGTAAAGAAGTAATTTTCGAGTGGGCTCAACAAGGCCTCAGAGATGGTAGAGGGCAACAATTATGAAAAAGAAAACATATTTGTTTGTTTACATATAGTTATAGAAAAACACTTGGGAATTTTTGTAAGGAACGAGAATTTGCGTGGCAAAGATCTGTTCATTTCTCGTACATTTTTTTAACTGTTCAGTTTGGTTGTTGTTTTTTTTAACAACTTGTGGCGTAGATACACCCTGTTTCATCTATCGTGAATGGCGTATGAATTTTGTTGCGTAAGAATTCATACGGTACACATAAGCAGTTATTGAATTCATTTTTCGCATGATATCAAGAATTATTCAGACTGAGGTCAATGTGAGCCGAAGCGAAGCTGAGGCGGATAACATTGACTGATAATATTGATAACAATATTCAATAATTGTTTTATTATTCACCTCAGCCAACTGAAGTATTATTAAGACTGATAAATGTGAAACATTTTCAAACCTTCGCTAATTTGTCGATGAAAGAAATCGGTTTTTTCAAGTTCTTCTCCTTTAAATATGCTGTAAATATGTTCAAAACCAGCTTCGTCGCTTTTTTAGTGTTTTCCACTTCTTTTTTGCTCAAAAGCTTTTGCTTATCGTTCTAAAACACGTTTTCCTGCATTTTGAGGGCAGAATAAAAAAACACTGTCATGACCAAATTGAACAAAATGATCGAATTTTGCGAGTTTTTTTTCTAACTTTGCTAATGCAAACATGCACATCATAGATAAAAACGTATAACTTTGACAATTTCGCTTATCTTCTCAACTGCTGCTTGAATGCCTCTTTTTTTAAAAAAATAGAGAGTGCAGCATCAGACAAGCACATAGCAAAGGCATTTTTATGTGAAGTAAATGCCCTACCTTCATGCAGTGATTTGATAAGGGGGTACTTAGCATAGTATAAAGCACTTTCATATAATTCTATGCTGGTGAGGCACCGCAGTATGGTGGGAGATTTTCATTTACAATCAGAGCAATAGAACAAGCATTGTAAAGACAATTGTCATCAGCCAAAGTATTAAAACAAGCTGAGTAGAAAATATTACTATATAGTTATATAGTTGAGGAACATAAATTATTTGTTAATATTGGAGAATGATCATCTCCAGAGCAATGAGCTTTAGCTATACAAAAGATTAGCAAGCTTAATGTAATGTATTGAGGAAAAAGCTCATTGTTTATTTATCTATAGGGTACAAAGCAACCAGCTTTTGGGAATAAACAACTTTGCATTTTTATAACAAGCTTAAGTAATGACGAGGAGGCTTGTTATTTATATGTTTAACATGGTACAAAGCAACCAATGAGTTTCCAGAATACAGATGTAGTGTTATAGCAAGCAATAGAAATTAAGAATTAGGATTATTTTATATACATATATATCAATAAGGTACAAAGCAAACAGCTTCAAGGACACATCTGCAGTGTTATAGCAAGCTTTAATAATTAAGGAGATGGCATATTTTCAATTAAAATACGAGGTCATTTTAATGAACCTTGAGTGACTGACCACCATATTAATTCCATTTAATACATACATTATTCAGGCCCTTAAGCATAATTGAGAGATTTTTATCATTTGTAGCAAGTAACTACGTCAGAATCTGACTTTGCTGGTGCACAAAGCAATTTATGTCATTCTGACTCTGCGGAAATGGCAATTCTGAAAATTCACAAGATCATACTCTTCTGGCACTACCTACAAAACACAGCCAATAATCGAGTTATCATTCCTGTATACTTATAATTCAATAGTATTTATGAGTTCAACTCTTCAACTTCAGAGAAATGCGCCTCGTCGACATCATTTGGTTATTTACGACAAAATTTATTTGTGTTTTTTGAGGATTGTGTTGAAATAATGTTGTGTAAAGTAAGAAAATATAAATTTATCTACGTTTGAATAAAATGTTGGAGCCTTTCTCATAGTATTAAAGCTCTTTGATATATTCTATCTTTGTAATGCGATATTGCATAATTTATAAACTCCTGACGGCGTCATTTTGACACACTTGACACCCCCTGGATCCGTCCCTGATGCTGCAGAAATTCGCTCAAATTTGATTGTAGTTGTCCGTTGTTTGAGCTGACGTGGCCGTTTTTTATATGAAAGTCATGCGATAACAAAGCAATATTGAACTTGGTTTTAACGGTTGGTTGAATGTTTTGAAGTTATTGTCTCGAAAAGACGTTTTACGTTGGGCTTTTTAGCAATATTGTTCAATATTGAAAATTAAAATTTATTTAATTAGATTGCATGTGAATTGAAGAGAATGACATCCCCGTTTTTGTGCACACTATCGTTGGCTGCTATTAGTTTTAACAATTTTTGGATGATGTTGGGCTTGATATCAAGAATTATTCAGACTGAGGTCAATGTTATCTGCCGTAGCGAAGCTGAAGCGGATAACGTTCACCGAGGTGTGAATAATTCTTGATATCATGCGAAAGCCGAATTCAATAATTGTTTAATTTTACTGTTCTAAATGTAGAATCCTTTAAAGTATTGGTATTTTGTTTAGAACCTTTTAAACTATTTTTAACTATTTTTCGTTCATTGACATAAAATAATTTTAGCAGTTTGCTTTCGTCTTTTTTCTCTAAAGAATGAGGAAGTGACTGACAGTTTAATCCTTTCCGTATTTTTTAACAGATAGTTTTCAATGTTTTGTAACTGGCAAAATATTGAGAAGTATATGTAGGCTCTTAGCCAATCACAATCGAGATCGCACCGTTATTGTCTAATAAAAAAAGTTACTGGGAAATCAAATCACGATTTCCGTTACTCTTCGAGTACTTAGGGCCTGTGTTTATATGGAGCCGAGTTACCCGGCTGAGCGAGTTACTCGGATGTGTCATACAAACGATTCACAGGGAAATGCATTCATTTTATATAAGGGCCGAGTTACCCGGCTCGGCGAGTAACTCGCTCAGTCGGGTTACTCTGCTCCATATAAACAGGCCCTTAGGGTATTGAAGTGTAAACAATCACGAACATAATATGATTTAATTAGGGCAAGCATGTATGATATAGTAGCGTGTACAATTTGGTCTTTATTAGTTGTGGCCGTTCTAAATTGTGAATCGTTGCTTCTTCATCACGACGATCTGGTAATTGCTAAAAAATAAAGACAAACTCAAAAATCCACTCGACCGATACCAACAATATCTCATGTGTGACACGTTGAACTATAATAAGCCATAGTAACTTCGTTATTTTATTTGTCGACAAGTCTTGTTTGTAGACAAGTTATTTGTCGACAAGTCTTGTTTGTAGACACTATTCCCGTTTTGAATTACGTGAACTTCATGCTGTTGTTATTTAAAGAAGTGAATCGAGTAACCACCGACGTTCGTCATCAACAATAACGACAACGTACGTAAAGTGAAGATCCCAGGGAGGTAAATCTGTTATAAACATCGGTAAATATGCTTGAAGAAATAATCGGATTTGCACTGTCGTGTTGTTCACTTTTTGCTAATGAAATATCACGAGTCTCTTCATGCCCAGAAACCTCTAGTAAAAATGTTGGATGTGAATTCGAAGATATCGACGATAATGAGCAAAAACCGTTTATAAACAAAGAGTACGTCGACCTCGATTTGGAAGACCGTCACTCAAACGTAACAAACTATAATATCTATCAAAACAATAGAAAATGTTGGAAGTCGTTTAGGAATAGTTTGTGGATAAATTTGAACATCACATTTATTACCATAATCTATGCTGCATTTTCTATAATTTTGGTCTACGTGGAAATGAACACCACGTACAGTTGCCTGGAATGGGGTAGTCATAACAACACGTTCCCTTTATATATAAAACGGTTACACTTCTTCGCCCATATTGGGGAAGTTACAGTCGAATATTTGTGGTGTCCAATGAGCGTGATGTTGTTGTTCGGTTGGAGAGAGTTTAAAGAGAAATATTTTTCCACTTTTTTTATCGCTGTTATTTTCGGTATGGTAATCGTCATTTACTACTTAGTTTGTCTTCAATTCAATGTCTACGATATTTACAGTTACTACTACACGTACCCCAGGTACATATGGTTTTGCGCTATGTTATTAAGCACGGCCTTCCTCATTCTTTACAACATTCGTGTAAATAACCACAGAGTAACCTATTCCAATGGTCACATCATCGCGCTTTTTTTAATGGAATTTATTTTCTGTGCGTTACAGTCGTATTTCTTAAAAATAGTCGTTATTCCTGGCTTCAACAAAGTTCGTCCCAACTTGTATAAATTCTTGATCGCTACCTCCTCACCACTGGTAGCGCTTATTCCCACAGTATTGTGTGGGCATTTGGCGTTGAGAAGAAGTTCCGAGGTCGTTCAACCCGGTCGTAGTTTTGTCCTGGTGTATATCATTCGAAGTGGCGTTATATTTCTATACAGAGCGATGCAGTCTAATTTCAAAAGTATTTGGCTTTTTATTGGCCTTTCATTGTTTTCATCGGTCATGAACTTTTTGAAAAAAGCGACCCAACAAATTCGCTTCAACTGGTGGAAGCGAATAATTTCAGCGTTGAACAAATTACGTTGTTTTCAAAAACTGCAAGTGTTACCGTGCAACACTGCTCATGCAAGACGATTAAAAGCTGATCTAGAAGTACAAGATATGCTTCTTGAGTACAACACCCTCATCTTGAGTCAAGCTTACTTCGTTTCATATCAGCTTCAAACTTTTGAAATTCCCCTGGAGCCCTTGTTGCTCGAGTTCTTGAAAAGAACTGCGATTGGTTTTTTTATTGATTTTACCTTCAATTGTCTATCCAACTATGTGCAAATGCATTATTTCAACATTCCCATTGGCCGCGTATGGAGAAAGTGTTGGAAACGACATTTGTTGGCTAATATAGTTGTTGTGTTTATGATAATCGCTTTCTTTAGCCGAGACTTAGAATCCGTGTTTCGATCGCATTTTGAAAAGATTTCTACAAAATACGTAATCAGGAACTGTTCGCTGTTTTAGTTGAGGAATATAATGCATTTATACTGCATCAATCTATTGATCTTTTTACATATTGTAAAGGACATTACGCTAAAATTCATTTTACAAACATTTACTTAACTCCTACTCCACGGCTATGATAAAATGTTTAGTCTGCGCAAAAGTATAGAACGAGATGCTGCATAGGAAAAACTCTTTATTTTTA